GCGCCCTGTGTGTTTGTGTGAGGAAGTGCATTTTCAATGGTCAAAAGGAGACTCGCCCGAGAAAAGCGTTGGTGTCTCTAGTGATGGCCCTGGAAGTTGCCAGTATTTCGTGCCCTTGGGGCCAACCGCAGGCAGGTCCGTGCAGTCCTCACTCCTGGTCCTGGTCTCACCTTCTACCCAGGAGCTCAGAGCGCTGAGCCCTGCCGGGCGGGGCGGTGCTTCTGCGGGCCGCCTGCCTCTGCCTCAGGTCTGCATTCACTGACTGGCCTCCGGGTCTTCCTTTCAGGAAGCTGCCATCACACCGAGTGACGAGACCCTCTTCCCTGACGCTGATTGGCTAATCGGGAACCACTCCGATGAGCTGACCCCGTGGATCCCTGTCATCGCGGCCAGGTGAGTGGGGAAGCGCAGTCGGCAGGCGCCTGGCTGGGCAGCGGTAGCCCCAGTGCACGTGGCACTTGAGCACCGGCGTGCAGCTGGTTCAGCTTGTTGAAATGAGATGAGAATATCGGGTAAATCTAGAATTCCATCTAGTTTACTACTTGAAATATGGGACCAGAGAAAACTCTGTTGCATATGTGGCTCACACGCTGTTTCTGTTCGACAGTGATGATCAAAACATTCCTTCTATGATATTTATATCCAGTGGTGAAAGATGTGTCATTTTTTTCTGGAAGATTGTTTTGTTTTTTGCTTTTTTTTTTTTTCCATAAGAGGAGGGTTTATCTTCAAAGGAAAACCTGTCGGTGCACAAATGGGTGGCAGCAGTCACGTCTGTCTCTCCAGCAGCGTCATGCATGTCAGATGGCGCTCACCTGTGTCAGAGGAGACCTTTAGGTGCCGGTTCCTGCTGCCCGTTCTCCAGCAGCTTGTGACCCGTGCCCGCTCGCGGAGCCGCAGGGTGCGGAGCCAGCCTTGCCCGTGCTGTGCCCGCCTCCCATCCCCGCTGCCTTGAGGTCTGGGAGCCCTGCACTTGGCACGGGTGCGGCTGGCAGAGCAGCTGGAGTGGGAAACCCTTGTGTGGGAGTCTCTCTGCGTGTCTCAGTGGGAGATCGGGGGCTGCGCTGTTTCCCGGAATCTCACTGGGAGGCTGTGCTTCACTTTTTACGTAAAACAAAACGCGCCAGCAGCAGGCGTCTGTTTTCTGATCCATGACTGCCACGTGGCCCTCCGCTGAGGGTTTAATGAATGGCCACGTGGCCCTCTGCTGAGGCTTCTGTAGTGAACGTCCACGTGGCCCTCTGCTGAGGGCTCTGTAGTGAATGGCCACGTGGCCCTGTGCTGAGGGCTCTGTAGTGAATGGCCACGTGGCCCTGTGCTGAGGGCTCTGTAGTGAATGGCCACGTGGCCCTGTGCTGAGGGCTCTGTAGTGAATGGCCACGTGGCCCTGTGCTGAGGGCTCTGTAGTGAATGGCCACGTGGCCCTGTGCTGAGGGCTCTGTAGTGAATGGCCACGTGGCCCTGTGCTGAGGGCTCTGTAGTGAATGGCCACGTGGCCCTGTGCTGAGGGCTCTGTAGTGAATGGCCACGTGGCCCTGTGCTGAGGGCTCTGTAGTGAATGGCCACGTGGCCCTGTGCTGAGGGCTCTGTAGTGAATGGCCACGTGGCCCTGTGCTGAGGGCTCTGTAGTGAATGGCCACGTGGCCCTGTGCTGAGGGCTCTGTAGTGAATGGCCACGTGGCCCTGTGCTGAGGGCTCTGTAGTGAATGGACCACGTGGCTTTGGGCTGGGTTTTCTGTGATGAACCTGCTGAAGACTCTGGTGTCTGCTTGTGGGTGTTTTGAAGGTCCTCCTACCGCTGCCGTTTCTTTGTCCTCCCCTGCTGCTTCTTCGACTTCGTTGGAAGGTACCGCCGGCGGCAGAGTGAGAAGACGCAGTACCGGGAGTACCTGGATTTCATCCGGGAGGTGGGGTCGGCCTGCGGCTTCCACGTAGAGGAGGACTGCCTGCGGATCCCTTCCACCAAGCGCGTACGTCCAGCCCCTGGTGC